TCCTCTGCATTCCAACGTTATTTCAACTTTTCATCAGTTTGAGTTAGCATCGTGCATTGACACATCAACGTCCCGTTTTACCACCTATGGCGCGATACCTAACATATGTATATAGAGAGACCGAAATGCAGAAGCTGGGATTAGGACTGGCCACATTATAGTTGTAAAATTTTTATGCAAACACATTTATCCTCTTATCATTTGCTATTTTATATTCTGGCAGCGAAAATAAAGAAATTTTTGCTAAACATTTGGAATAATAATTTAAAAATAAAGCATATTCCTCTTTTCCTATCTGATTGTCTCAAATCTTTACAGTCCGTCTACTTTAAAGAAAGACGAAGACACGATCATTAGGACGGTAGATTTATTGGCCTTTCGAACTGATGTTCATCATCACCACCACCACCATCATCATCATCATCCAAAATCTAAACAGTCCTATTTCCCGTGCCATACACGTTCCAATTTTGCTGAACAAGTGCAGTGATCGTGAAGTCCCCTGAGTGGGACTGAATTATAGGCCACGCGATAGGAACCCATTAGGAATTGCTCCCGGTCTATCAATCAGTAACCCCACATAAACTCATAGCACTGGCCACGAGGACCGAGATTTGTCCTCAGTTGGCACCTAGCGCATCTTGACGGTTTCAAAACGCGTCGGATTTATTGCGATAAAGAATGCACTAAAGTGTCGCGGAGATGGAGTGCACACAGAGTCGGGTTTACTATTTCTTTAATACGCCAGTCGGCTGCGCGATCATGACTAAAAATGCAATCATCCCTTGCTACTAACATCGACTAGACAGCTCTTCTCATTCTATTGATTTTGTGGGCCGCCGAATTGGGTTATAAGGGCTAGGTCGGGTGGAAGCGTGTCGGAATAGGAGGTAAACCGTCCAGGTGTGATGGGTCGTATCATGCAACTGGCGACTTCTCCATACGGCCCTCAATGGATACCAAACCCACCTTTGTGGCCCCCGAAGCTAGGCTCTGCATAGCAGCGCCATCCCGGTTAACGCCTTGATTGGCGGACTAAACAAAATGCGGGTATTCTGCACTGTGTTTGTCCCAACATCCGGCAGTTATGCTCACATTCCCGCCCGCCTACTTCCACACTGTCAAAAAGCATAAGGTTATGGGTTTTGTCCGGGGCAGATAAAATAGTATACAATAATGGCTACTGCATTAACTTAAGTAGGTGCTCTTATGGTACTTTTTATCGTGTACCACATAGACCTGGTCTACGTGTTTCACTGGCCTGTACTTTTGAACTTGCAAACAATCACCCCGAGAGCCAGGCCCTGCATAAATGCCCATATAGGCTCGTTATTGTGCTCTTCACCCGGACGTGCTAGGTTTCATGCGAAAGCTTTGTCCGCAGTCAACGGCATATCACTGACTGAGTATTTTGAGATTGGTAGGGGGGCGGTCACCGAGTATTTCTACGGAATTCACTCGTTCCGTTATGCCTTACGGGCTTTCTCTCGAGCCAAACCAGCAACCGCGCATGGGCGCATGATACAGGCAGAATGAAATTACCTACAAAGACTAGCGAGAATGGAATGGCCATTTCTGGCATATTAGCCGTCGTAAACCAATCACCCATAACCCTGAAGTGTGGAACACCTGGGACTCAATCCCGCAACCTGTTGGTTGGAAGTTCAATGTCCCTAACCACGAAGCCACTGAGCTGAGACAATTGGCTGCTGTGAACCAGTTACACCTGGCTTATCAATTGTTTGGCAGCTTCTCGGAGTACACCTCTGCCATGTGGGACAGGAAGGTTTCCCGTGATTGTTTTGGGCTGACGATGTTTAGTCCAGACCACAGACGATACTGCATCTCGTCGATGTGGGTCCAGACAGCTCGGTCTGACACAGAAACGCCTTTATGTAATCTTCTTTTCAGGCGACTCCAATACTTTTCACATGCGTAGGTATGTCAGCCTGTCGTCGCGTCCTCACAATAACTATTCTGGTTTACGGTGAAATGTGCAGTGCTCAATGTTAGGTTGCTGAATTCAATCATTGAACCTGTTTGCAGTGCCTCGGTAATACAGCAACGGTAACATATGAAATCTAAACCGTCAGTGTGTTTCCTGAGGATTTGCCATCGCATTTTCTAGCAGCATTCACATTTTCAACTTTTGGGCAGTTGTCCTCTGTCTTGGCAATATTGCAGCAGCTTATCGCAGTTTAGCGTTTCCATCATCTCGTCAACTTCTGTTGGTATGTCCCACTGAGGTTGTCTGCGTTTTACAGTTTGTTCAGGGTGTGATCTGCGTTTAAAAAATAAAATCAGTTTACTGTGTACAGTCACTTCCTACAATTGAAACTACCATCTACTTATAGATATTGATTTTTATATAAAGTGGTAGGGGGCGCTCACCGATCGTTCATACGGAACTCACTCGACAAACTGACTTCATGTGTTTCAAAATTCAGGTTGAGTATTTGTTTTACGTGCTGAAATCTTCGCTATACACCATACATTATTTTAATTACATATACCTACATATCTATTTGTATGCAATGTCTCTTTGCATTAATAGACTTGCCTTTTGTATTTACTCCTTCTGTCATTTATCTTACCTTGCTATCTATCCTCCTTGCTCCCCGTCTTGCATTATTTTCGGATTCCTGACAGTTATTGCGTCTTCTGGTATAGTCCTCACTACCGCTTTCTGATACTTATTGAAATGTTTGGACTTCCTTCTGCTCATATTCCAAGCGCACTAGTAAGTTTTCCATGTAATTCTACTTTTTTCTCATTTTGGAAAAGGAAAATGATACTAGCGTTGGGACAAGAACTTTGTTCGCCTGACGTTTCGGATTCCTGTCCAAACCCATCATCAGAGAGAAAAGCAGACACGGGTGCTTCATGCACAAGGGGCTGAAGTATTTATAGGATGCAGTCGCCATGCTACCGCATGCCAATGAATATTCACGGCTCCCCCTTCATCAGGGATCGTTGCACGTGGTGTTATGACTGCTTGGTGGCCGACATTCGCGCCGTGAAATGCTGCAATTTCATCGCGTGCGTTTGATGTTGGTGTGGTGATTTCTGGACCATCTGACCCACCGACCCTGGCGTTGGGAACAGTGTTCACACGTACGCTCCCGATGTGGCTAATTACTCTGCCTAGGCGAAGTCTCAGCACCGAATACACAATGGGCATATCATTGCCTTTGTTAATAAATTGCGGGATAGTGAATCATTTCTCAAGCCAGAATCATAAAAGGCCAAACCAAACGAACTCCAAATTTTGGCGAGCGCCTCCGTATGTGAAGAAAGTTTATAAGGCTGTTAGCCGCCTTTTCTCGCCACAAGGGGTTGGAGTTGCACACAGACCGGAGGCAACCATCAGACTTCATACTATAAGACTGAAAGGAACTCTGCCACGACAAGAAACGTCTGGAGTCGTTTATCGGATCTGGCGCAGTTGCGGACAAAACCTGCGCGGAACACTGTCTTCTCTAACCCAGCACATTCTTCCCTTATTCAACGAAGGAGGCTGCAACCTCGATGCTCCATCAACACCGCGGCGTTGGCAGCAGCTGGGTTGTGTTCTCCCCCCGGGGGTGGGGGGCTAGATCGGCAGAAAGTGTTGGTGCTCAAAATGATATGTGACGTCAACGACTGCAGGTATCATTGCCCCGCCTACCTACTCGTCTAGAAGGACAGACTGTCGTACCGAAGCAAGAGGCGGCCTTCTTCAGATATCACCGTCTTGTGCAGCAGCGGCTATGTGAGAAGTATGGTGCCTTAATGGATAAGAAGGTCGAGGAACCCTAACGGTACGTTGAAAGCAATGAGGCAAAATCGGCTCCGGATCCAGACACTGCTTATTTCCTTACAGAAGCCATCAAAGCCCTGCAACGGATTCCAATCGGGAAAGTACCGGCATCTTACGCGATCTGAGCTGTAGTCTACAAGACTAGCTACCTCATGTGATTAGTAAACTTACGACGATATTCTGAAAGAACACAAAGAACAATTTACCAAGGAGTTCAATGACGCGAACGTCTCAGCGGCTATCAGGAACACCGACGTCTTCCCGAAAACCAGTGCGTCTTCTCATGATACCGCAGAACAATCGCCATGACTTTCCTCGCCCGGTAACCTTAGGTAGCTTTTTCGGAAATGCAGAACCAAATCTGCACCACTTAGAGGTATTTGACTAAAACATCAGACACAGTGAATTGCAGAACTTTGACTGCCCGGAGCGACTCCCGTAAATGATGCCTCGGATCGTTGACAGGATGATGGCGCGCGCGTCACGGGCAATGGGACCGATTGAGGGGCCTTCCCGAAGACTAATCGAATGAAGCAGGACTGAGTTCTTCGTCATCCCTGCACCAATCTTCACGACATCGACCAACACTACTACTACTACTACCACCACCACCACCACCACCACCATCACCACCAACACAGGTCGCCACAGGTGATCACAGTCCTGACGCCACGACGGTTCAGCCGATGCCATTCATATAATAAAGCTCATGAAATGCCGAGACAAACGGAATATACTCGGATGACGACGAAGATAACATATGATAGTTCAGACGATTTGCAATAAAAAGAATACAATAGGTCAAAGTACCAGTAAAATCCCTGGCTCGAATGCGACAGATGAATGACAAATGAAGAAAATACAGGGGCTGTCGTGAATACAAATTATCCTCTCATCATGCATTGAGGGTGTTTATCGCAGCAGTTGCGACGAAATGACCACATTCAAATAGTATTCATAAATATTTAATTTTACAAAATATAAACACACAAGGCCCAATGCAATAGACAGATCTAAATTAGGTATAGTAGAAATTGCTATCTAGTATAGAATATCAGTTGGGCAAAGCCATTTCACACTCCGCATAATCACTAAATCGTAGAGGAAGATGTCGTATGGACACACACGACTTGCATGGGTTTTGTGAGGGGTGATTTTGCTTGGTAGCCATGGATACGAATATCGCCATACCGAAATTCCACTACAGTTGTCCTCGCGTGTAGGCGCTCAGGAGAGATTGGAGGGGCAAGGCGATATAACCGGTGACATTTTCCTGATGTTTCAACGAGTACACGATCCCAGATGGCAACTCGAACTGAAGACCAATCCTATGCATCACCAGACCCAACCACGCATCGTCAATGGGAATGCGCTTAGTGTAGAACATGGCCAAAGCCAGATCCGCCACGTGATCGTAACCAAGCATGTAGAAGTATCCATTGCTGTAGGGCGCATGCACTGGCCACGGAACCTCCCGCTTCGACAGTGCCCATTTTCGGACGGCCGGAGTGTCCGTGGGACGCACTGTGGGGCTATTCCAGCGAGTACTCGAAATGGAAACTCTGCGCCGCCAATCCAACTGCAGGCTGGCCAGAACGGCCTGGAGGCGTTTCTCATTGAAACCAAAGTCGTCGTCGAGGAACATGAAGGCAGGACGTTCGCGACAGAACCTGGCCGCCCACACGAATGTGTGATGCATCTTCACAGACAGATTGTAGTAGGTGTCTTCGAAGTCGCCCACGATGATATCATCCTGTTCACTCATATCCTGCTCTAGGCGACTTCGAATCTGGGCGCGGCGGTTTGCAATGTTGACGAGCGAGTTGCCGGCGCGACCGGGTAGTGAGATGTTGAAACCATCACGTTGGAAGGAATTGCTGCTTGTGCTTGTGGGCAGGCCCACCACGAACACTACTCCTATGCGATAAGGTAGTTTAGCGCTATTCTCCTTTCTCAGATGGGCGTAGAATCTGCGAAAGGCTTGTCTGTCCTCAAAGTTGTAGACGGCTGATTTCACAATGACGACGAGGTCGTGGTTGTGTTTGCGGTCAGCGACGTCATGTCTCTCTGGTGAACAAACCGAAGTGCTCACTTTGAGAAAGTGCATGCTGCGGCCGTTGACGGGAGGCTGCAAACGGGCAAGAAGGTTCAGAATGAATTAAAAAGAATTTTGTCGCAGAGACGATTACAAAGAATACTTCGAGTGAATTGTGTTTGGTGGTGCTATTTTTAACAAAATGAAGCGTACTGAGGAGCCTAGGAATGCTCTTTGTAAGATGTCCGATCCCGGTGCCGATAAAATCACAAGAAAAATCCTTAAATGCACCAAATATCTGTCAGTTATCCAGGGACTTCGTCTCGCTAAATGCATTTTCAAGGTTTAGAGGCTCAACCAGCCTACTTTCCTGGCACATGTGCATATATTTGACACGGATTCTTAAATTCGAGTATTTAATAGGATTCTGAATTCAGTAATCAGTAGTTTACCATCTCCTCACCTCGGGTTTGCCATAAGATTTTCTCTAGGCGTTTGTCAGCTGCTGACTAAGGTGTGCGCACTGAAATTGGGAAAGCGAATTCTTCCACTGTTTTGCGCTGTAAACAACAAAGGGGAATTGCTCCGGCATACAAAACAACGAAATTCATCAATACCAATCTGCACGGCAATAACGCATGAGATGGGAGCAGTTAGACCTTGACAAGCAGTAGCACCATCTTCTCCAACTGCCTGTGACGTGAGGGTTATCTGTGAGACAGAGTGTTGAGAATTGCCTATCTCGCTGATTGGACTAAACTGGAAGGAATCTTGATAAGTGCTCACGTGTACGCGATCGATATGCGCTCTGCATCGAAGGCTCAGCGAGAGAGAGACAAATATTATGAAGCCTGGTGTCTAGAGAGAAGTTGGGGGAGCAACACGACGGCAAAGCGTCTAACTGTGCTAGAGATCAAACAAGGCCACAGACCGAAACTGAAGAACGAAGGACATCCATGTTGACTAATCTGCGTGTCAGGGTACGGGCACTGATCAGTTACGCTGTCCTGGTTCCAAGTGTAAACGCAATGTGGGTATTGCAAGTAAAGTTATTCGAAGCGGAAAATGTTGAAACCGTGGGTGTAGAATTTGCCAAATGTAGAACGGAAAAGGGCAACCTTATGTTTTGGTTTAAAGGTAGGGTTAAATTTAGGGTTTGATTTTGTGTCGGGCTGAGAAGTGAGTTTAGGATTAAGTTCTGTATTACGTTTAAGGGTTTCAGTTAGAGTTGGGGTTTAGACTGCGGTCTAGGTTGGCGTTTGGTGTAAAGGTTGGGCTAAGGTTGGTGTTAGGGCTAGGGTGGGATTAGGATTAAGGCTAATGTTATGTTTAAGGTTAGGGCTAGGGAAAAGGTAAAGGTAAGGATTTGGTCCAGGGTTAAGGTTAGGCCTAAGATTAGGGCTAGGGTTTGTGGTAGGTTTAGTATTAGGCTTAACGTTAGGTTTATAATTAAGTTAAGGACTAGGCTTGCTTTTCAGATTCACCACTAGTTTTGAGGTATTGCCTCCCCCACTTTTCCTGTCAGACAGGTCTTCTGCGAGGATTCTGGGCTTCCTTCAATATCGCGACAACTTTATCATATATTAGGTTGCCTACTCTGTTTCAGCGTCGGCCAATTTCCCATCGAAAGATTGCAGTATCCCGCTTCGGCTTATATAACTGTCAGTACCCAGGACAGCGCACTAGTGGTGCAATACAAAACGGAATCACTACTAAATGCTCTCGAAGCACTCATATAGACATTAATTTGACAGTGAATCTGCGCTTACCTCTGAAACCAAACCAGTCTCCCGGTTATTCCCAATGACCTCACGCAGAGCAAAACCCTGCGGATACAACAGGAAGACGTCCGGATTAATTGGCCTTTTCCAGTCAGTATCTTCTATTTTCGCCATCTCTGCAAAGCTGATATTCTGACCTCCACCTTTCCTGCTGATGAGATCGAGGGGAAGTGTGTCGTATCTGATTACTGGGACGTGCGGATTTACACAGCAACGAAGACTCAGGTCGTAAGGGCGGCCCTGTGTCATTTCACTGATACCAATCCAGCGAACACGGCATATTATAGATGAAACTCGAAATATCATTGTTTCGACAGGGCTTCGCAGCCATCTCGCCCGAAGTAGGCATCGCTCAGTAACTTTAGGATCGCTACTACGACCAGAAGGAAGATCCACCTACGGTAAGACAACTTGCAACAAGTCATTGTGATGATGCCCATTCTACTCGCTTCGGTCAATCCCACAATACAATTACACGCCCTATAGTCGCGGACTCGTAATAAACCGCAAGCTGCACTGATGTTGTCTTCCAACAATAAAATCCTAACCAATCAAGCTTCAAGAAGTCTGATTTTTGCAGACGATAGCCACATGCAATTTACTCCAAAAACAACTTCCGTCAACTGAGCTCAGTGGCTTCACGCTCGTCTCTACTTTGTAACTTCCCTCATTTACTCTCCAAGTACCTGCTAGTCTGCGGTTGAAAAGTCACAGCCAGCGGCTAACTCTACAAAGCACTTAAAATGAGCACTGAACTGGAGGCTATCATTCGTAATCCCCATCGGTCTAGGTTATGGCTTGCTGATGAACACAAAACAGAACCTTTTGTGTGAATTTTCCCCCTCCCCCCTTTCAAAATTCTGCCTCAAATTACACCAGTTTGTTTTTTATGTAGTAATTCTAAACTTCTCTGTCGACCCTACTATTTGAGTCACAGTGGGTTTCCGCAAATAAGACTGGACTGGCTTGTAAGGAGTGTTTGTTTGCGTAATTACTACAGTTAGAAACTATCGAACGTGAGGAGGATAGGTAGGACAGCAGGAATGGTCGTGTGCTAGTTCAAGCATTCGTGTCCATCACCCGAGTTCATCATCGGTTTGCAAGACAGGCAACTGGACAAACATGCTCTTGTGTGGAAAATGGATTCTCAGACACACCTCCTAGCAATACCTGCTTTGATCCTGGTAGAATGCTCAAATCACGCTAACTGGTCTGCGTCTGTCACTCTGGGAATATGCCATATTTTCTCTTTCCCAGTGCGATGCAGGCCCTCGGAAGCACAAAAGTCTAATGCGACGAACAAACCCCTAGTTCATCACTGGTGCTTCCGCCATTGGCAAGTCCACGGAATTTTGAAATTGTCAATTGTTAGAATTTAAAAGACAATTTTGCCAGTACACGGCTGTATTCGACAAATTCTCTGCAGACTAATGAAACCCCCTGAGTGATTAGTAAGGTTTCACAAGGCCATCCAAACGTACTTGGCCTGCGTCTGTTGGCT